TTTTATCCAGACACTTATTCTGCAAATGCCTTGGGAGTAATGTTCATACTCTTTGATTGTAAAAGCATTCAAGAGCCTCCTACTTGGGACCCAACCCTACAACAATAGCGTGGAACCTTGACCTTGAGCCGTTATGCTTCCTGCCATGCTCAAGCCCACTGTTGTAGTCACAGTGTCAATGCACCTCATTAAACATCTTTCTTGAAAGAGAAGGATAGAATGTGGCAAAAGATGACTCTCTTCTTATTTTCCCTTGAAATGAGGGTGACAGATGTAGAATTGGCGTTGACAAACGCTAAAGAGCTTCTGCTCAAAACATCTCCGATGGCCAGGAAGGCTACTCTTATTAAACTGCGCATGCTTTCATGTTATTGTTGTTTGGTGTCAACGAGTCGTCAAGTGAACAAGGAGTCAAACCCTTGCCTATTCAGGACGTTTCTCACAATTTCTGGCATGCTGAAGCCCATTACTGCAGTCACTGTGCCAATCCACCTCACTGAGGTCTTTCCTGTCTCTCACTGACCTTTTTACTTTTCTAGTGGATGGATAACAAGCAAGTTGCATCATTACTGATCTGCTGTCTCCTTGCCCCAAACCCCCTCTTCTGTATGGCATACCAGCATGTTAAGTTCTGCCATCAAGGGCGCCACAGAGACTGTGGAGGTGATGGAGGAAGGAGCCAGCTTCTTCCAGTGTGTTTATGGTTCCTGGGTCATCCCAGCAGCACTGGTGTCTTTCTGTCACAGCTACTGGACCCAGACAACGGCTTTTCCCACACTAGCAGAAATGTCTCTATGTTCTCTCAGATCGGCAACAACAGCTGGAACCTTTTCCTCAGACAACTCGTCTCTGAGCTCAAAGACACTGGAGGTCTTTGAAACCCTCAGAGGTCTAAGCCTCTAAGGCAATAATTCCAACCTCTTCCCTTTGTTTCCTCAACTCTAGAGGTCCTAGCTGCTTCCTGAAATGCTCTGTCCGTGACACCTTGAGTTCTCTTTTGACCCTTTCAGTTTCCTGGTTAACAACTTCCTACCAAGCTCACTATTATTTGCATCAGTTTGTTTCTGTTCTAACACCTGGTCTGGCTTCCATCTCCTGGCAGGATCTGACTGATGCACAAGTCTTACACTGGGAACTGTTCTGGGGTCTTTTTCTTTGGAGGTGGCTAAACTGAGGTACTCACAGGATGAGGTAAGAGGAAAGCTTTTGAACAGAAACAAGACTTGATCGATTTGCTGCAGTGCTTTGTTATCTTCTCATTAGAACAGAAAGAAAATCAATATTGTAAATAATGCAGATAAACCCACTGTGACTCTGATACAGGGACCCTGTGGGACAGAGTGGAACTACCCGATAGGGTTTCCAAGGCTGAATGGCTTTACGTAATCAGATTGTTTCATCTTTCTGCCATGGAGCGGCTGGTAGGCTCACACCACTGCCTTTTCCATTAGTAGCCAAATGCTTTAACCACAGGGCTCCTCCAATAATGTTGTTACGTGCTGCTGACTTGGTTCTTACTCATAGTGATCCTATCTATAATGGAAGGAAACCCTGACAAGTCCTGTCCCATCCTCATAATCTCTGGTGTGTTAAAACCCACTGTTGCTGCCACTGAGCTGCTCCAACTTTTGATGGTCTGCCTCTTTTAGACCCTCTACTCTCCCCAGCATGCTCTCTTTCTCCAGGTCTAGCCCTGTCCTGATAACACAGGCAAAATATGTGAGATGAAGTCTCACTCCACCTGCTTCTGAGAAGCACTCCAGCTGTACTTCTAAGACAGGTACGCTGGTGTTTTTGGCAGTCTGAAAGCTTCATCAACAAGTATTTCTAATGTCTCTCAAAACTCACTCAGTGCGGCTCGCTAACAGGCTGCTGAGGCTGTAAAGCATAATGAGAGGAGACTTTCATCTTTTCTTTTGTGGAGTTGCTGGTGAATGGGAACCACCCGAGACGTACGTCTGCTCAGTTGGCAGCACGACATGCTATGGACTAAGACAACAAAGGGGACCAAGCCTGTGAAAAGCCTCCTTCAAACTCAGTGTCACTGAGCTGGAACAGACTCAGAGCTGACCCTCCAGTGGGTTTACCAGACTGTAGACTGCATGGAAGAGACAGCCCATCTTTTCTCCCTCAGAGGAACCACACTGGTGGATTCGAACTGCCAGACAGGTGTAGAGCTTGGTTTAGGAGTGTAACTGCCCACAGATTATGCCACCACATCTTACCACACCTTGAAAGGGTACTAATCAGTAAAACTTGGGACAAGCTATACCATGAGGAGGACCCCTGGTGGTATAGCAGTAAAGAATTTGGTTCAACCCAAATTGGTGGGTTCAAATTCACCAGTTAGAGGGAGGAGAAAGATGAGGGCATCTTCTTTCTTGTAAAGATTTACAGCTTTGGAAACACTCTTGTGCAGTTCTATTTGGCTCAGAAGGACTGCTAAGAGTCAGCTTGAAGGGAGGGGATATGATGACATGAAGGTGTCAACTGAAGCCATCAGAGCAGCTCCTGCTGGAGGCCAATCTGTCCTTAGCTTTCTCTTTCCCTTCCATCTGGACCTTCTGTGCCCTTCTAGAAGGGATGGCTTAAACCGCATTCAGTGCTACATTTGAATGCACTAAAAGAAAAGTCAATATTACAAAACAGAAACCTATACTTAGAAGCTACTAATGAGATACAGATTGCGACTCCCTGCCCCAAACACTTAGCATTCTTCACCACAGAAAAATGTACAGGAAGGACAGACCTTTAAAACGACTAGAAAGTAAAACATTCACCTTTCCTAATGTCCAGGAGAGATGCTGCTATTTTCACCTTATAAAATAAGTTTACCATTCATGGCCTAAAGCAGAACTATGGATCTAATGGTAACCAAGAAAAAGACTGAGGACATCCAAGTAAGGGACAATTCCTCAAAGTTTTTAGAAAGCATCACTATGCCAGGCGAGTGGAAATGATGAGTGGTTTTAAACAATCACTATCCCAATTTCCAGTAACCTCCTTCCTAATTTACTGTCTGTCTGGCAGTGTGTTGTAGTCTGGTGGCTTGTATGTTGCTATGATGCTGACGTCATTGGTATTTTGAGGACTGGCAAGACCACCTATGGTAGGTGAGTTCCAGCAGAGCTCCTAGACTCGGCAAGACAAGAAGAAAGACCTAGGGATTTGCAAAAATTAGCCAATGAAAACCTTATGGGTCCCACCAGAACACTATCTGCCTCGCCTCACTTTGAATGCACCACCAGGAAGCATCAAATACAGAGGAAGAAGGCATACTTATTGGAGTACAGGGCCAGGGAGGGTGAGAGACATCTTGGATAACATGAATTGGCACAATAGCCACAACAAAACTTAACTATTCTGGAAGGTGTGAGGATAAATCAGGACTAGATAATGCTCTGTATTTACCTAAGGTCACCCTAAGTCAAAGCTGACTTAATGGCAGTTCTCAATCCATTTATATGCCTGCCTGCCTGCCTGCCTTCCTTCCTTCCTTCCCTCCCTCCCTCCCTTCTTTCCTTCCATCCATCCATCCATCCATCCATATCAGGTACCAGACACCATGATCTGACATGCAAACAAGTGACTTCTATCCTGGCAAAAGTAGCCTGGTTTGCTGGCAGAGTTTAAAAGTCAAAAGAAATTGTATATGGTTGGAAAAAGTCCACATGACCGAGAGACATGAGGAGCTCTGCTATGCAGTTCCCTCAGGCTCTGGCTAAATAGACCTTCTGGATTGGTTTCATCTGGGACATGGCAGGTGTGAAAGCAAATTGGCCTTTGAATGTGAACTTGACACACTGGCATGGAGAAAAGGCAGAAGGATGTTGCCACCAAGTGATGCCACTGAGATCACCAAGGATGGATCACCAAGGGTTGGGGGCAAAGGAGTGAGGAAGGGTCCCAGAACTTCTCCTCAGCCTGAGAGGTCCTATATTACGTGAACAGCATAAGCCCAGCACTGGGTGACCTGCAACAAGGTACCAGAGACGAGTGAGCCTTCAGCTCCCGTGCTTCATAAACTCAGGGACAACCCGGCAATTGTTCTGACATTGGGCCAAGCCATCCAAGGACCATATCAAAGCCTGGTGGTGCCAAGTTCATAGCAAAGTGATGCTGCTTTGGTGGGCACATCCAGAAGAAATCGTTCTTGTGTTGCACCTTGAAGGACACAGTACCTTAAATTTACACAGAGAAAAACTGTGTGTAGAAGATGGGCTGATGTTGCAACATCTTGGGAACAAGTGTTTGGCTCAACTGGAGAGAAGGACTTGGGGGTGGAGCGGGGGGTAGTTTGCGGATGCGGCAGGAGTCTCAGAAAGTGCTTCTACAGAGGCCCATGAGGCTCATTTCAGGAAATTAGACTGGCAGCGGTTGACGGGTGGCTAGTAGCGGGGGAGCGAAACAGCAGAAGCACGAGGACAACCGCAGCCCTTGTGTATGTGAGGTTTCTAACCCAGGAACGGACCCCAATCTGGGTCTGGTGGTGGCATGAGACCCACAGACGGAAGAAAAGTATCCAAGGGAGAGTTCTTGTGCCTTGACAACTCAACTCTCACTATCAGCAGAAGATGCTACCTGTTCTTTACATTCCTCTTATCAAAGTTTCCACACACCGCTTTGCATCTGATTTTCATGGCAATCTCTCAGAGGACAGAGTTGTTTTACAGCTGAGGGAACTGAGATCCTGAGAGGTTAGAAATCCACCAAGTTGCCAGACTCTTTCTTCCCACCTGCTTCTTAGAAAACAGACTTAATCTAACTGGTCTCCATCTCCTCATCTGCCAAGAACCAGGATAATCTGACGGTCTCAGGAGAAACTGGAATTTCTTTATCAGAGACCCTGGCAGTTGCTCTAAGCTTAGCTGGCCAAAGCAGGTTTATTTGCTCAGCTAGGTAAGGGTTGATCTTCTCCCAGGCACTGAAGCGGCCCCAGTGGGCACGAGGACCTTCCCCTGCTCCTCAGATTTGGCTGACCCTGTCGGTGTGTCCCTTACCTCATGGCTGCTGTCATTCCAATGGGAGTGATGGGCAATGGCCGGACGCTGGGAAAGATCCCTCGGCTCAGAACCCGCGCTCCATTCTGGATCACTCCAGGGGGAACTGCAGAAACAAACAAAAAGAAAACACCGCATGTAAACTGAACTGTGAAGGTTGCATTGCTAAGTTGGAAATTCTGGATTTTAGACATTCCAGGAAGTTAAGAGAGTGTCAGGGGGACAGCAAAGCACACAGGGACCAGAAAGACAGCCACAGATGCAGAGTGAGCAGAGACACAGAGATAGTGAGACCACACATGTCCAGAAACCTGGCCAGGAGATCACATGAGGAGAGCACAACCAAACGGAGGCGTCAGGATGTCGGGCTCAGACATTCTCTTCTTGCATGTATTACATTCAAATATTGACTGTTAGGCAGATCCTAACTGAGAAATGTGACACAATCACATAGCAAGGGACCAAACGGAAGTGCCCTCGGTGAGGGCATCTATTTGTCCTTCATCCAAAAAGGGGAAAGCAGGGCTTGTAGTAGCACAAACCGGAGCTGACAGGCTATCTGCACCTCAGCACTCCCAGTGCACTTCCTCCCCTGCTCGCTGAAGGCTCCATCAAATCCCTCCGCACAGTGGCTGGGAGGGCAGGGCCGTGCTGGAGGCTCTGGCTGCCTCCTTCCTGCAGCGTCTCCCAAGCAACTCTCCCAGGGTTCTTCTAGCGCCGACCTTCTCCCAAACACACTTATTTCTGCAACATCCTTGTTAGGTGGCTGTTGTTAGTTCATGCAGTCAGTTTTGACTCTGGGCAACTTCTAGGTGCCACAGAGGGGTTTTTCAAGGCGGTGACCTTTTTGGAAGCCAGTTGCCAAGTTGACCCTCTGAAATGACTGTGGATGGGTTGAAACTGGCAAGTGTTTGGCTGGGAGTAGAGCGCTGAACTGTCTGCACACAGAGAGGAACGGACACTAAGCCGTCCCAAATCCTGTCTGTTTCTCATACAAACTCTCAGCAGCTTCATGGCAATCTGATTTTATCTGAGGATTTACAGAATAGGCTGAACCACAGGAAATCCTTGATATTTGGTTTCTCTCTCTCTATTTCTTTTTTAAATCTCCAAGATGCTTTTCTTTGTGGTTCAAGCTAGGAGTCTATCTCTTCTCACATCTACTTTGACTCATGCGTATGTCTGTGGGGTCGGGGGAGCATTATCAAGTGAGAAGAACATGGATGCAGAGCTCACACGGCCTGCATTTTAATCTTAGTCTTCATGTGACTTTGTGTGAGTCCCTAAATCTCATTTTCCTTCTCTGAAGTATGTTCTCCAAGACCCTGCCTGCTCTCACCACCCCAAGACCCCACCTCTGTCCATGTAGCTCTCAGCATAGCCTTATAGAGAAGCAGCATGAAGAGTGCTTTTCAAAGATCATAATAAAAAGGTTTTAGAAATAATACACCCAAAACTTAAACTCACCATGAGTCTTACATTTTTAAAGCTGATATTATTTGTATAGAAGAAATATTTTTTAAAATAAAACAAACCATCTAAACTATACATCCTTTTTCTTTTTTTTAAGGTCCTAAGAGCATGTTTCTGTGAACATTCTACACCTTTAATCAAGTGTCTTTCATGTAAAATGAATGTCTGCCTTTTGCATATGGAATGACTTTGTAAACTGGTAACTATCTATGCATTTTGTATGTCCTAAAGGAGTCCTGGTGGTATAGTGGTTAAGTGCTACGGCAGTAACAGAAAAGTTGAAAGTTTGAACCCAATGGCTGCTCCATGAAGAAAGAGATGTCAATGTGCTCTTGTTAAGATTTTTGGGCCCTGGTAGCCCAAGTGGGTTAGAATTGATCTGACAATCCCACCCTAATATCGCTAGCTAATATGTTTTGTCATTTTCCCCCCAGGTTTATATAGGGCCATTGCCACTAGTTCTTACAAAAGGTGGGAAAAAGATAACATTGAAAAGCATTCTGAACTGAGTACTACTAATATAGCCCAGTGTCCTGGAATCTCCCCTCTCTTCCCATAATAAATGGTGATATCAGGCTGAATAGTATCAGAAACTGCCACTCACTCCTACTTTCACATCCTGATTTTGGATAAATGATCAGCTATCTGGAAACAGGAAACTCACTTATGTATTTTAAAAGACTAAAACCTGTTATCATGTGGTGACGCTGGCTAATTATCTTAACATCTTACTCTGTTGACAAGTTTTCTCAAACAAAGAACATCTAAAATTCCTGACTTGTATGGCCCGATTTCAAAATGTACTATAAAGCTGCTGTACTCAGCACAGTGTACTATTTGTGTAAGAACAGACATACACCAGGAGGACAAAGGAAAATCCAGATACAGACACGCATGTATGTGTTCAACTTTTTTTTTTTAACTTATTTTTTGAGGCTCCAAGACAATGCAATGGGGGAAAAGAAAGTGTTGGAAAAACAATACCCATCTGAAAGGAGAGAAATTTAAATCTGTACTTCACACTATATAAAACAATAGATACAAAATGGATCACAGACTTTGAAACAAGAATGAAAACTTTACAACTTCGCAGAACTCTGGAGTCTGGGGGTGGGCTGTTGTTAGGTGCCTCTGAGTCAACAATGCATGACTCAGAGAGACCTGATGGACTCACAGTGCTCTCATGGGTCTGTTCTCCAATCTATATGCACGCAGCCTGGTAAGATAGGGTCTCCCTGCCCCCGCCATATGCCTGGGGTACTATGGGAGAGAGTTTCTGTGATTTTCTGTACAGTACTCCCCATGAAATGGTCAGATCCTCGCAGGATTCACGTTTCCTAAGATAATACCACTTAATAATACATCAGTCACTGCAGATCCCATCTAGAGCAGCAAATGAGTGACACAACACACCACACAGACAAACAATATTTAAACGCTGCACCAGTTGTAATTCTTGTCAAGAAATAATATTTAAGTCTCAAGGGAGCTCTGGTGGCCTAGTGGCAAGAAACTGCACTGCAGACCCAGAGGTGCATGGTTCAGATCCACCAGATGCTCTGCTGGAGAAGGAGAGGCAATCTCCTCCTGTACCAGTCAGATCCAATTTGATGGTATACACACACACACACACACACACACACACACACAAATAATAAAATAAATTTTTTTTAAAAAAGAAAAAATATTTAAGTCTCATAAACAGAATGTTAATTACCCAGTTAATGGAAAGTCTTACCACATACTGGCTTACGTATCAAGTGACAAAAACCACATATGACCCTGCAGTTTAGTTAAATAGTAAAGAGAAATAGGCAAAGAAAATATATGATGGGAAGTGCTAGGCAAGGTAAGTCGGCCAAAATCAAGGATGGAGACACGTACTCCAAACTCAGAGGTATTTGGGAAGGCTTCCTGTAGAAAGTACCATCTAAAGTGGGATCTCAAAGTTGAGGAAACGGTTCGTACAAACAAAGTCCAGGAAGTGATAAAAATAACACTGTGTCAGAAGAATTTTTTTTTGAAAGTTATTTTGCTAAAATACAAAATATATAAAGAATGAGATGGGTCTGGGTTTCACCCCACGGCCACTGGGAAAAGCAGTAAAGGGTTTTGAGCAGGGATGTGACCTTCAGCATAGTGACCAAGAGTGGGAACTGGGGTGGATAAACCCGGGCTTGCACCATCTCTGCCAATTACTGACTGTCCCTTCCCACACACCCTCCCTTTCCCCCTCCAGAGCAAGCGATGTTGACTCCTTATGCCTCAGTTATGCCTCAGTTTCTGCAGGCATCAGATGAGGATGAAGATGGTATTTAGCTCACAGGGCAATTGGAGGTTAAACTAAGATTTGAAGAAGGCACTGTCATTGTGTCCTGTCCAGTCAGAATCAAATCAGAGCTGATGCTCCAGTGAGTTTCCAGAGGCTTTAAACTGCATGGAAGAGACACTGCCCATCTCTCTCCTATGGAGCAGCTGGTGGATTCGAACTGTGAGCCTCGGGGTTGAGAATGCACCTTCTTACCCATTCCCACCAGCGCCCCCTGAAAAGGCACAAGTGCTTAGAAAATACATGTTAGTCATGGATATTGTCATTACAACCACCACCGTCATACAGGGAGGAACTCGGAAGTGACCTGTGCTTTCTTTAGTTCAGATGAGCTGTAAGGCTGCTAGGGTCCCTTAGTGAGTTCTGTGGCTAACTGAAAAGTTAGTAGTTCGAGTCCACCCATTGGCATCTCAGAACAATGATGATCTTTACTTCAGAAAGATCCGCTGTTGAAAACCTTAGAGGACAGTTTACCTCTAATACAGGTGGGGTTGGTCAGAGGTCAACTGATTTTGAGGGTTGGAAGGCCTTGAATCATAATGTAACCAGAGAGTAGGTTATGTCAGGAGAACGAAGAGATCCTTCTGGTCCAGTTACAGGAGGAGCCATGGTGAAGCTTCTGTTCTCCTGGTGAGGACCAGGCCAGCTACTCTGACGTAGGAAATGAACGAACCATTAAAATGCCCGTGACAGAGGCTGAGCCCTGGAATGTGGAGACAGCAAGAGGGAAGCCACAGAGCACACGTCTTCATCTTCCTTTAATTGTGTGGTGGCTGTGCAATCATCCACCCTTCCAACAAGATAAGCAGCCCTGGAGATGATGCAGAGTCCTTCACACAAATGCCCAGAACCAGGGGCAAGCCAGGCAAAGAGAGAAACAAGACAGAAAGCCAGTCCTCGCCCAGAACCTTCTCAACAACCAGCTTCATTTTACACTCTGTCTTCCTTAATCCTCACTCAACCATCAGGGAAGGTGCATGCCACCAAAGTTACAATTACAGGCTATGAGGAAGACTGCTTCTGTTTAAATTTTTGCTCCACTCACAGCTTTGTGGCACTGGGCAAATGCCTCTGGATGCCTGTTTTCTCACCCGCTAAGGAGGCATCATTTTGGATCATTCTGAAGATTAAACTAGATAAACTAAGTACATTGTTTAGCTCGTTGGCTGGTCCACTGTACAAGCCATCATCATCATTGTCACCCTTCATCGCCTCTCTAATATCCTCTTATTAATTATCTATAAGGCATGCAGTTTAATGGGGTCAGGGCACGGGGAATTCTCATAGGCTGTCCGCTTTTTGTA